CCAAGCCCGCCGCTATTACTTAATATGCCTGATCCGCTTAATAACACTGCAGTCACATTGATCGTTAGAAATGCGCGAATCCACATTTGTTATACTTTATGATATTATATATATTCAAGTTGCTCTTATAAAAAAGTTTTCTATAAATCCTACATTACATAAATAAAAGATATCGATACACTAAAAAAACACATTATGCTATTTGCTAATTGTTTTCCTGTATCTATAGATTCTTTTCGATAAAAAAAACTCAATAATAAAAATAATATTGTTAGAATAATTTTAATTATTTTATCTTTTTAGAATGCTGTTATGTAAAATTACTTTTATATGCGCCTTTGCGCTTATCGCAGTTGATGGTGCTGTTCAAGATTCAAACGATGAGCAAATAAATTATCGACTTCCTAATCACACAAAACCGCTGGCCTATAACATTAAGTTAAATCCATATCTCGGGCCAAACAACTTTACATTTGACGGTGAAATAGTATACTATATTAATATTCTGAATAGTACGAAAACCCTCTCGTTACATATGAAGAACCTCGTAATAAATGAAAACGCAATTATTCTAAAAACTTACATTGGATTTCATTACTACATTCCTACGACACACGATTACAACAATGTAACTGAAATTTTAAGCATTGGTTTCAACGAGGATTTGCCCATTAAATATTATATTTTACGTCTAAAATTTACTGGTGTACTAAATGACAGGCCATACGGATTCTATAGAAGTTCTTATACCGATAGCGCGGGAAATAAAATGTAAGTAAAATAATTCTTTAGAATCATTAACTATTTTACTTGCAAAATATAACATCTACAAAAATCTGTTAATTTAATAAGATTAAGTAGCTATTAAAATTTCAACAGATTGTTTGCTGGGACAAATTTCATGGCAACTTACGCGCGCGCAGCCTTTCCCTGCTGGGACGAGCCGGCGTTAAAGGCTACTTTTACGATCGCTATCAAACACCATCCCAATTACACAGTCGTTTCGAACATGCCAATTTTTGAAAAGTCGGAAATTGACAAAAGTGATGGAAAAATATGGACGCAATTTGAAGAATCGTTTAACATGTCAACGTATCTAGTTGGTTTCCTAGTATCAGATCTCCGTAACATAAGCAATTCCGATGGAACTATCAATATCTGGGGTAGAAGCAACGTAATTTCCTCGGCAAGTTTCGCTCACGAAGCTGCCCAGAAAGCGGCGATCGAATTGGAACGATACACCAACAGTTCCGTTCAGGTATCCAAAATCGATCATGTTGCGCTTCCTGGTCTTTCCAATAAAGTCATGGAAAGTTGGGGGCTTGTCACTTATAGGTAATGTCATAATGTGACTCATATATACGTAGAAACGCAATAGTATGTGCAAGAAGAGTAAAGTATATTAAATATCGATGATGTGAATGTGATATATCAGACATGTTTCAGATGAGCCAAAAAATCTAATTTTGTTCCATTAATTTTAAAGAAATATTAAAAATATTTTATCTCAACATTTGTGTGTGCAAACCGATATAATTAATTGTCTTAATTGGCACAAATATTAATTATTTTATAATTACATTTTAAAATTACATAATTCTATCTGTATATGAAATATTATATTTTCGAAAATTTTCTCCTCTCTCGTTACTTTTATAGTATTATATATTTTTTTATCTATTCACGTAATAAAATCTTTTAATTCAATGAGATAACAACATAGATAGCTAAAATAACGTAATATTATTCTAATGCTTATAAAATAACATTTATGTTATACATTTATGTATATACAATACATTTTATAAATACCGCTCTCGTTATTTTTATAGTGTGATATATATGTTTATCTATTCACGTAATAAAATCTTTTAATTCAGTGAGATAATATAGATAACGTAATTAAAATTAAAATAACGTAATATTATTCTAATGCTTATAAAACAACATTTATGTATATATAATACATTTTATAAATACATTTACCGTAATATTTTATATGTGCAGGGAAGCTACGATATTGTATGATGAAGTCAATAATCCAATCGACGCATTGTATAGAATTGCAACCACCATGATTTATCAGTCGAGCCATCAATGGTTCGGTAATATTGTTAGTCCATCCTGGTGGACTAATATATGGATAAACGGAGGACTTGCTGAATATTTTAAATATTACATTGCTGACAAGGTAAAATTTCATAAGAATATGAATACACTTACTTTTAAATCGGAACTACAATAAAATCTACTGATATTGTTTTATACATTTATATATGTGCTTTTCAATTAAAAAATATTGTTATTTTTATTAAATAAAAAATATATATGCATAAATACTACATATATTTTTTATCTAGATATATAAAGATTGGCGAATTATAGAATTCTTAGCGACTAAAACGCTGAATTTAATGCTTATCATGGATAGTTTTGAACATGTGCGGCCTCTTAATTTTAAACCTAAAACCCCTGGAGAAATATATGCAAAAGCTTCTTCACAAGATACAATCACTGACAACCGCAAAGGTAATATATTTTTTCTTAATAAAAAAGACTCAAAGTTCAAGTTTACTATTAAAAAATGTTCACAATGTTTTTTTAAAAAGCACGATTATTATTTCAGCTTCTCTACTTCTACGGATGCTCTCACATTGCCTTTCCGATGACGTATTTCATACAGGACTTATTGAATATCTTAACAAGTAGTCAGTATATTATTTACTTTTGGTATATGATGTTAATATTAATAGAAGTCATTAATACAATCTCATTAATTTGCTAACACATAATACCGCCTGTTAAAATATAATAGAAAGTATTTAATTCCGTTTTATGTGTAATAAAAATAAATTAATAAAATTAGTTACAATTTGAAATATTGTATTATGACTTCTTGTGCAGTAAATTCTCATAAAAATTTTGACAAAATCTATAAATTATAATATTCATGTAAAAAAATCAATTATTAGCAAATATAGCGTAGCCGAGCCTGAGGATTTATGGGCCGTTTTGCAAAATGTTTTGGAGAAATCCGCGGTGTCTGAGAATAAATTCAAAATTCAAGAAGTAATGGACACTTGGATAAAACAGAAGGGATATCCACTTGTAACAATAACTAAAGATCTACATACTGGAAAGAGAATAGTTACACAAGAATATTTTCAACCATTCGAAAAAATGGGTATACGTAAGAATAGCAATGACACAAGCACTGCAAATAAGTGGTGGGTTCCAATCAATTTTGCAACTCATACTAATCCAAATTTTTCATCAACTTTAACCACACACTGGCTGTCACCGGAAGTTAAAGAGCTTGTAATCGATGATGTCGATCCAGAAGACTGGATCATCGTTAACATTCAACAAACTGGTAAGAAATATGATTGTAAATCTATCTGTACACTAATTATTATATTTAAATAATGTTAATTTTAGTGCTATAAAAATTTCATCTATTTCTTTATAAAAAAATCTTACTATAATAATACTATAATAATCAACATTTTACTAAAATGTCAATATTACAAACATTACAGATTACATGCATGTATTTAAACTAACCATTGATTTAAAGATTCAATATTTTATATAATATTTAAATTTATGTATTATATATTGGTATTTTTATTACAGGTTTTTATCGCGTGAATTATGACATAATAAACTGGTTAAAAATTGCCGATTATCTGGATTCCGAAAATTATACAAAAATTCACGTATTAAATCGTGCACAAATAGTTAATGACGCAATTTATCTCATGTTCTCGAATAAATTAGATCCCAAAATTTTCATGGAAGTTACGAAATATTTGCGACGTGAAAAAGATTACGTAGTGTGGTATACAGTATTTAGAATTTTGGGTGACACAATCAAATTTTTTGCTTACAATGAAGGCGGCGATTTGCTTAAAGTATGACATTTTTTGTACATGCCAAAAAATTTGTTATAAAAAATATTTTAAATTATTTTACATAAAAGATTAGAAATAAGTCCAATTTCTAATTGTGCTAAAGCTGATTATCAATCATTAAAACATTTATAAATAAAGTGTATAAATATTGTTATATTCTTTTTTACATAATAATAGATATTCGAATAGATTTTATATCATAAGACAAATTACAAATATATTGCAGAACAATATTACAAAATTAATCAAACGGATGTAAATATTGTAGCCGCACATCTGGGGCTTGATGGACAATATTGTACAGACTGTAGGTATGCAAGATCGCCCAAATGACGATTATTTTACAAAAATGGCGAGGAATGCAATTCTTGAAGGAGCATGTGCCTCTGATCATCCTATATGCTTACATGCAGCCCATGCTCAATTAATCGAGTATTTGAAAAATCCCTCGCTTGCAAATAGGTAAATATAAAATATTCTACCTAAAAAATTATATATATAATGAAAACAATTAATTAAAAAAGCTTTTTTATAATATTTTTAAAAATTCTCTTTTAGAACTTCATTTCACAAGAAAAAGTGGATATTCTATAACGGAGTAAAACGTGCAAATGAAAGTACTTGGAATCAACTGCTTTCCCTGAATACAAACCACTTTGAATCAACGTTATATTGCCTAGGATACTCCAAAAACCAAACTATTATTGAGAAATATTTAAATATGACCATAACAGAAAACTCGCCAATCGCAAAGAAAAATATATATCGGGTTTTCTATTCCGTGCTGGATGGAGATTTTCCTAACGTCGATGTGATGATAAACTTTACAATAAATCACTGGGATAAACTCACTACTATGTAATAATTTTATTAAGTGTTTTGAAAGCTATGCACATTCTTCTGATCGCAGAATATCTGGAAAAAAACATTAGAAAAAATGCTTTTTTAAATATTGAACAAAACATCATGTTAATATGAAAATCTTTATAAATGCTAATGTACATATGTATGTTATAACAAGTGGTTACACATAGTAAACAGTGCAATCTCTTTAAGTTTGATCTATCTGCGATCTAGAAAAAGCCCGCAGCTTTATGTATATGTATGTAAAGACATATTAATTTTATTACATATATATTAATCAACATATTAAACTTTTTACAGCCTTGATGACCCTACAGATACACTGCATGATATTAGTTGGGCTGTGGTTTCTAGAAAACAGATTCAGAAGGTAAAAATTTCATAAAAATAAATCTTAAATGGCGAAAAAATATAATTTACGTTGTAAAAGATTTCTATTAGCTTATATTTCAGCATTTTACAATATTTATGATTGTCGCACTTATAGTGTTAACTTAAGTTAACTAATAAGTATAAAATTAAATATTAAATACTTTCTTTCAGATGAAAGCATTTCTAAGCAGCCTTGGAATGGAAATACCACACATCATAAAATATCGAGAGCGGAATGTAGATTTGACGGAAGCAAAAGTGAATAAAATTCGCTCATGGTTAAGCATAGGATTATTTCCAAATGAAGTCAAATAAACATGTATGGCTTTTGTAGAAATATGTTAGTGTTTTATTTGTTTGATTTTAGAATAAACGTCAACAATTAATTAATTCTTATTTGACCAAAATATCCAAACAAATAAAAATAAATTTATGTCTGACAAAAAAATATAATATATATTTATCAATTACATTTTTATACGATTCTTAATTTAAATCTCATTTTCTAATTAATGCTTGATCAATTTGCAAAAAAAAAATCGTAAAATTTACACTATTAAGTTAGACTCTATTATTTTTACTACATTTTTTCTCACATTGCGCATTGTCAAAAAAGATATCGCTTTTTCATACTTTATACTTTACAATTAGCAAATGACAGAAACTTTATACTTATGTTAGCAAATAGCATTACATCGTTTAGTGTGCTACTGTCGTACAATTATGTAACAGAGAGCAAAGATTATCAGACCTTGTGTAAAGTACACATCTTATGTTGAAACAGAAGAACAATTTAACATTAAAAATAAAAGATTTCTAGAAACAAATAAGCTTTACATCTATTATAAGCTACAATAAGCTTAAAATCTATTTGTGTCATTATTTTAGAACAGAGACTAGAAAAAACAATCAGAGAGGAAAGAGGAGAGAGAATAATAACATTTTCGATCAATTATAATATAACATATATCAGATTTAACATAATGTTTTTACTTTTTATTATTTTAAATGTTTATAGATATATACGATATTCAAATAGAGATACATTTTCTGCAATAATATTTTACTGATACAGTACAAAATAACAATTTAGCGATAACCATTGATTAGATAATTATTTAAAACAAAAACAATATATATCTAACATATATATATAACTGTACCAAATTTTTAAGATAATAATTTTCTCTAGATTATTAATTCTGTTTTAATAATATATATGTTCCTAGAAAACATTTCATGCAACATATTTTCCTAATAAACATTATCTCTTTTAATCCATCATTTCTAATCTAAACTTCTTTATTATTAACTCAGCAAGAAATATTAAAACATCTCAAGAAATAAAAAATACTCTAAAAAGCATATCAATAAACAGCAAAGTTTATGACCTATGAAACAGCAATGACGCGTTGCAAACGATAATATTCTTTGGAGATATCTTTGGAGATTTCTCTCTCATGTCTTTCGTTTTTAAACTACTCTAGACACCCCAGACGAGTGTTGCTATCGCCGAAGTGTTTAAGAAGATTACTCTTAGTTTGAAATATTCCATTTGGTATTTCCGTTTTCTTTTTTTCCTCTTTTTTTATCTTTTGGTGATATCGCGGAAAAAAAACGTTTGATAATATCGCGTGTGGGACGTAACAAATATACATATATGGTATAAAAATATAGGATTTTATTCCAAATATGTAAGATGAGAAGATCATTTTTCAACAGCCTAATAAAATTCAATATATAAAAGTGTAAAAGTGCATATGTGTATAATTATATAGTAGCATCATGACAGTTATCAAGTGTTTATTAGGAGTAACTTTACTATTTGTCACAAGTCAGAGCGTTCATCATGAAGATAATGAAGTAGTGGAAGAATATCAAGAAAATCCATATCGCCTACCAAAACATGTTGTGCCCACTCATTACAACATAAAATTAATACCGCATATCGTGGAAGGTAATTTCACCTTTAATGGCGAAACGAGTATTGACATCGAAGTGCACAAAATGACAAATTCCATCGCATTGCACACTGTGCTACTCACAATAGACGAATCATTAACAAGATTGACCGGCGGAAACGGAAACGCCGTAGATAATTATATTCCAAGACAGCATGATTACAACAATGAAACAAACATTTTGACTATACAATTTGAAGAGTTATTATATCCTGGAACTTACACACTATACCTTAAGTATGTGGGTGTACTCATAGATTATAATGGATTTTACAAGAGTTTCTACATGATAAACAATGATAGAAACATAGTGTAAGTAATTATTAAAGAAAAAATATAACTCTATCGTGCGAATAAATTATGCTAACATTATATTATAACATATGTATAACAAAATAACATGCACAAAAAATTAAAAGAAAAAATATTTATCTAGCTACTCAGTTTGTTAGTCTTCCTATCTTCTTTGATATTATATTATGCAATTAATATACGTTAAAAAACGTAAAAAGCTATTAAAATTTGGACACATAGATATTAAATAAAATTAATAGTATATGAAATAATTGATCACTTTCCGGAACGTTCAACTGCTTCTGATTATTGAAATATATAATAAACGTTCGCGTGACCTATTGCTTCCTCACGATAACTTTAAACACGTTAATGCGAAATTTAATACATTTAAACAAATTAATATTGAATTTACAGATGGGTAGCAGCTACGCATTTCCAACCTGTCACTGCGCGACAAGCGTTTCCGTGCTGGGACGAACCCGCCATAAAAGCAACCTTCAAATTTTCTATAAAGCATTATCCTAATTATGTAGCATTATCAAATATGCCATCCACGCGATCGAATGTCGATGAGGCCGATGGAAAAGTATGGACATACTTCGAGACAACACCTATCATGTCGACAAATATACTGGGTTTCGTGATCGCCAATTATGATTATATCTCAAATTTAGATGGTACCATCAAAATATGGGGCCCAAAGCACCTTCTTCAACACGCTGCGTATCCTTTAGATATTGCCGAGAAGGCAACGCAAGAGCTCGAAAAATTTACTAACAGCACCACTCGAATGCCAAAGATGGATCACATCGCCATTCCCGTATATACAAGCCGAGCCACTGAAAACTGGGGCATGATCACTTACTTGTAAGTCTTTTCTTAATAAGCGTTTTGTTAATAAAACTAATTTTTTTTGACAGAAGATTATTACTTGTCCTCCAAAATATTTCTTAAATCATATTATAAAATTATGTAAAAGTTTCGATATATATATCAGTTGAGCTAATTATATCAAAACTAATGTAGAAAGATTAATTTGCGTGTAGAAATTTTATAAATTATGACAGCTTTCAAAATTTGACTACCAAAATGCACTATTTATTTGACAATTAAAAAATATTTAACTGAAATGAGACAAACCATTCTTTGTTTATGTATAGCATTTTAAACTCCACACATGTAATAAGTCTTGAAACATTTTTTTTAATTCTATTATGTTTATTGCATTACTAATCACAATTATTCAAAATCTTTTAGAGACCGTGTACTTCTTCAAGATTATAACTCGTCTTCAATCGAAAACAAAGTGTATAACACCATGACAATCACGCACGAGATAGCGCATCAATGGTTTGGAAATCTAGTTAGTCCGGCTTGGTGGGATTATCTTTGGTTGAGCGAAGGCATGGCAACCTATTTAAAATTCTACATTACTGACAAGGTACTAACAAAGTGTGTAAATGAAATATGTTAATCATTTTTAACGAAATATTGATCTTCTTAGTTTCTCAAAGAATGGCGATTAATGGACTGGTATGTGTTGCATGATATACTATTCTTGCTTCGCATAGATTCTAATCATTTCAACAAGCCGATTAACATAAATATAACTAGTCATTCAGACGTTCGGAAAGCATATTCACCTACTCATACATATACGAAACGTAAGAAATATTTAATTTACTTTTAATAATATATTTAAAAAAAAGGAAAAAATAAAATTATAACAACTAATTATAGTTTTAAAATTAATATTAATTAATATAAATATTATTTTATTTTGTTTTACATAGTTATTTATATTTGTAAAAAATAATTCCATATCTGTTTTTTATCTTTTAGCTAGTATCTTATTACGAATGTTGTCGCATTTCTTGAGGGAAGATGTGTTCCAAAACGGTTTAATAAAATACCTTCAAGCGCAGTTAGTATAATTGTTTATAAATTTTAAATTTTATTATAACATAAAATATAAAAAATAATTTTGAGAAAAATAAAGTTTATAATAAATCTACAAATAAAAAAAACTAGCAAGTACAGATATCATATTTATGTTTGATTGATATTAAGCTCATTTTGTATACACAATTGTAGATAAAATTTTTTCCAAAATTATTAAATTTGTATTAATTCTCTTAAGTTTTGAAAAAGCGAATTTTTATAAATTGTTATTGTGACTATAAAATCCACCGAAAAACTGTAAATTTCATTATTAAAGATATATTATTTTTATCGATTTTTAGTGAATACAGTAGTGTCACACCAGACAATTTATGGAAAGCATTACAAGACGCTCTCGATGAATCAGACGTACCACATGATGATTTTAATGTAAAAGAAGTAATGGATACTTGGTTTAGTCAAGCAGGTTATCCTATTGTAACGATCAATCGAGATTATACTACAGGTGAGATCAAGGTTACGCAAGAAAAATTTCTAGTTCCAACGCCTAATAATACCGAGAGCAATAGCACATGGTGGATTCCAATAAACTTTGCAACACAAAGCAATTTGAATTTTTCGTCAACGTTAGCCAGTCACTGGCTAAAGCCAAAGATCGAGAGTATAATGATCGAAGCAGTAGACATTAACGACTGGATTATTGTAAACAAACACTTAACAGGTATTTATTATTGCAATATATATATTAATATAATAAAATAAATCACTCAAAATTTAAATAGTAAATTTTCAAAAAATATTTAGCGATTCATATAAAACAGAAAAATTAATAAAAAAAATAAATTTTAATATTAACTATTATACTAATCTTGTTTGTAACAGGTTTTTATCGCGTAAATTACGATATAACCAATTGGAAGCGAATTGCTATTTTTCTTAATTCTGACGATTACGTCAAGATTCCAGTTCTGAATCGTCTCCAAATTATCGACGATGCTTACTATATGATAAAGACCGAACGCCTCGACCCTGTAACTTTTCTAGAAATTATCAATTACACGTGGCGAGAAACTGATCCTGTTATATGGAAGCGATTATTCGAGATTATTAGTACGTTAAATGACTTTTTGCTGCAGCCTGAAGCAACTGTAATCTTTAAGGTATGATACATCATAATCTAATGTGCATCATCAAAACAAATATTATTTAAAAGCTAACAAATTTAACAAAAAAAATTAACATGTTTATATCTCATAATAAAAATAAAATAAAATAAAATTTCTAATATAATTTTTAATAAAATTTATAATATTAATAAAATTAAATTTATAATATTAATAAAATTTTTAATATTTTTTTCAAGCCATATTTATTCAACTTGATGAATAAACTACTTGAATATGTGAGTTTCGATGAGCAACCTAATGACGATCCCTTAACTATACAAGTTAGGAACACCTTCTATCGCTATACTTGTGTACATGGGCATCCAAAATGTCAAACAAAAGCTACCACTAAATTACTTGCATATGTGAACAACCCAACTGTAAATACGTAAGTTTGATTATTTAATCAACAAATTTTGCACAAACTAAAATATAATTTTAAATCAGATACTAGATGACAATAGTACCGACTGCTCGATTCTAACTTGTGTTTATTTAATTTAACGAATAACTAAGATACACTTTTGTTACAATTTTGATATATAATATTAATCCTGTCGACTTCGTAAATTTACAATTTACATAATAAATTAATCAGAAATTAATGTATCATTATTAATTGTTCTGTAATACTAAACTACTACTATGTATGTACAATTATTTTCAATTTCCCTTTAATTTTGACCAAAATATTTATTTATTAAACAAAAAAAAATGTAAAAAATTTTGTTCTTTAATTTACTAGACAAGTTCACCGCTTTACTAGGCAAGATGTTTGCTAAAAAGATTAATTTACAAATTATTACTGTGCATGCACTGCATTTTACTATAAAATAGAATAAAATAAAACAAAAGTAACATTTTTAATGTACATTTTTAATGTATGATTCTTTTAATTTAATCTAACAAATTTAAAATAAGTTTTAACTTTTTGTTTTGTTCCTCAGAATTCCATTCAATCAAGAAATTATATTTTGCATCGCTTTGACGAAGGCTAATGAGTCTATTTGGAATCAATTCCTGCAGGCATCTAAAGAAACTTCAAGCGATCACTCTTACCTTGGTTGCTCGGAAAATATTGACATTAACAAAAAACATTTAAATTCTATCATAATGAAAAATGTACCATCTATGAGAAATATTTATTACATGTTATTTGACAATATGCTTGTTAATCTGCAAAATTTAGATGCAACAATTGACTATTTTATTAATAATTTTGACGAGATTACCGTAGGGTAAGTAATATTATGCTTTTATATTAATAAAAGTTATCTAAATATTGTTTTAATCGAAAGATTTGCGTTGTACTGCATGATAAATTAAAATTATATTTAATAATAATTTTTCTCTAATGCAACATTATATTATATTTACAGTACTAATGGTGATAATTATATCCTTAGCCGCATTATTTCAGCGTCTGTCACAGAAGAACAAGTCAAAAAGGTTTGCTTTACACAATATTATTTTATTCAATGTTTATGTATTATCTCCATGAAACAGTCACTGAAATGATGAAATATTTTCTTACAGATAAAAGCACTTATCGAATCACATAATATTGATGAGTATGTAAGTTCTGATTTAATCAAGAAAAGAAAGAGAATAAGCAAAGTCAGAGAAAATATGTCGAAAATTCTTAGCGCTATCGGAAACAATGAATTATCTGTCACATTGTACAATACATTAAATAATAGTGCATTACAACCAAATATAACCAATGTTTAGTAAATAAGTATATAAATATAAAAATATCGTAAAAACAATAAACTTATACTGTCACAACAATAATAAAAATACTGTCTTCTAACATTACCTTGTATTTTATATATTAATATTATTTAACAAATTCATAAATACCCTTTAATTTTTATTTTAACTCTAACATTTTTCAAATTTAAACTTTATAATTTAAAATTATAATTTTACTTACTTAAAAAAAGCAACTAGAGATGGTTACTATCATCGTTAATTTTTGATAATGTTTATATATATATATATATATATATATATATGATACACACACATTTATACAAATATTCGCAATAAACATAGATTTTAATAATCTATCATTTTAATTAATCATTGGCCAGAGTAGATAAAGTGTATCGTAATCTATAATAACAAGAATAATATACGTAATATAATTTTATTAAAATTTTGAATTCAAAATACTTGAAATACGAATTTTCTAATATTATTATTTATTTTCTACTATTTTTTAATAAGAATTTTCTTATATTTATAAGAAATATAATTTTTATTTATTTGTAAATTCTGAGATATTACAATTAATATTATGTTACAATAATAAATATTTTTTATTATTGTAATATTGTAATATATTTTTTATTATTATAATATTAACAAAATTTTATATTATATTGCATAAATAAATATGTTTCGCGGTTCACAGATAGCGCATTTGTATAATATAAGCCTCATAATCTTAAAAATGTTATAATTCTCCGTGATATCTGTTTACAATGTCGTTATCAGACATAATCCTTAAAGTATTTCTTAGTTTTTATCTGCCGTCATAATAATTCGTCATAATACTTTATATACACTATTACCTATTATCGATTGTTATTGATTTTAAAATATATACCAATATTTTTTATATATGTGTATTCGTTAATGCTGATTCTTCAAATATTTTTTATTATATTATATATACTAGAAATATAATACAGATCTCCATCAAAAATTCTATTGCAGATTTCAGATCGTCTAAAACAGGCTTAAAACCAATCATATGTTTCTGTTTTGCCTTTAAAACACTTGAATGAAAGATACTTCTGGTAATAAAAAATCATATTTATTTTTATTCTGATAAACCAATCGCTAATCAAGATTATCTTCATCAAGAGTCGAAACATGATTCGTAATTTTTGAGAATCGATATTTCTAAATACAAAAGCAATTTTTTATTATTTTTTTAATAATAACTAATAATTTTAATTTTTTAAAAACAAAGTCTATATAATATAGTTTATACCTTACAAATATTGCGATTTTCAACAAGAACAGCGTTTGAAAAACTTTAATGCAATTAGACATGTTTTAAAATGTTACTTAACAAAATTATATGTATAGTTTACTTATATAAAAACTTATTATCAAAAACTAGATCACTATCAATTTAGATTAATTTGCAATCATATTAGCTCGTAATCAATGTTGTATCATATTGTATAATGTAACAATTATCAAGTTCTCAAGTTTCTCATCAATCGTAATCTAAAATCACTTATTGAATTGTTGCATTGTTTTTTTGCAAACACTTAATTTTTGCTGTCATAATATGTGTATAAGTAGAAAGCGTGATAACGTGGTTTTATACGAAAAATGACGGCATTAGTGAAACTCGTATGATAAGATAGTCGATAATATCATAGGTTATCAATGCGTAACAAGACTAAGGTTCATTTGACAATCTTTTTGTCACTCGACAGGTTCTATTGTTCGCGCAAATTATACATCTAGAAACGTTAAAAAAAAATAAATAATTCACCCGCTGGCGTGATTGATATATATAAATTTTTATAAAAGTAAAATAATTATTTTAAGTATTATTGCAAATATAAATAACTTTTGGTTTTACCTTTATAAATAGTTATAAATGTATATCTGTAAAATAGAGTATGAAAGTGTGAAAGAACGATAATATCAGCTACAAACGTAAATATTTAGTAAAGGTAAGTGGAATAATTCCTAAATAATTACTCTTTAGCTCTTAATAAAACTCTTTAGCTTTTAAAACTCTAAAAAAGCTGAACAAAAGCCCAAGCTGGTTTTTAATTGCTCTTATTATCTGTATTATACAAATATATAAACGTTTCGGCTTATTTTTTTAGCCATCTTCAGTGTACATACAAATTATCTTAACGTATTGTGATAAAAAACTAAACGCTCGCGAAATATAAAACATAGGTGGAAGTTGTTGTCTTACATTACACTGTAAAAATTACTGACTGACAATTCAGACAAAAGTGTTTGAAGTTTTCTTACAGTCACATTGTCTAAATTTTTGGACAGAATATTGTCTGAATTTCTAGCCACAGTTGTCTGAATTTTTGGTCATAGTTGTCTGAATTTCTGGTCACAGTCGTCTGAATTTCTAGCTACAGTTGTCTAAATTTCTAGCTACAGTTGTCTGAATTTCTAACTACAGTTGTCTGAATATTTCTGATCTTAATGCCTGAATATTCAGACACTTTTGTTAGAATTTAGATGTGGTTTTTAAAAATACTAACAATATATTTTGGTTTAAAGTATACTCAGATGCGATGTTTCCTACCGGGCTCCCGACTCTCGAGCCCCATGCAAGCGAGAACATATACGCGCTTCTCGCTTGGGTGGGGCTCGGGAGTCGGGAGCCCGGTAGGAAACATCACATCACTGAGTATACTTTAAACCAAAATATACTGTTAGTATTTTTAAAAAACCACACTTATCCGAACTTGTTTTTCACTGGTATACATATATTTCATTAAAAAACACAAACACCACATGATCATAAAACTTTTCGGATATAAGACTGATGACAGAGAACAAGATGTAAGTCGTAGTCGTGAACGTATGGTAAGGCAGAGAAAAACATAAGTCGTGAAACGTATCCACACAATAACTTTTCACGTCTTACGTTTTTCTCTGCCTTACCATATGTCCACGACTACGACTTACATCTCGTTCTTTGCCATCACCCTAACTAATATTCCGTAATGGATTCCACGACGCAACGTCAGTTGAGACTGCTTCGACTGCATTTGTTACACTGCTACTGCGTCTTCGTTACTGCGCGAACATCCACGCATCGGGTTATAAAACCACAGCATGTCTGAAATTTTAGACAGATGCTGCTTTCAAATATGTTGTCTAATTTTTTGGACACCAATTCTAAATATTTCGGACAGACGCGCCACTATTCTGAACTTGCAGATAAACTACTCTGATAATTAAGACAGATTGTCTGAAATTACTTTCAGGCACCCAGATCTGAAAATTCAGACAAAAATGTGTGAATTTTTAGGCAATCTTTTACAGTGTAGTCATTAAAAAACGGTGTTGTCATCTTACTTGAAAGTTGCCTCTTCATAAATCAAAACGAACCAATTAGATGTCAACCATATAAGTCAATAAATAAAAACTAAAGTAATGTCACAAATTTAAAAGATTGAAAGCGCTTTGTCAGTTGTCCTCAACGAAAGAGTATACATAAAAAAACGCTAGTTGGGTTGTATGTACACTGAAGATGACCAAACAAAAATGTGCTGAAACGTTTGTACATTTGTATAATACAGATAATTATAAGAGCAATTAAAAATCAACTCGAGCTTTTGTTCAGCTTTTTCAATTTTTGTAATTTATTTTTCAATATCAAAGCCTATCTTTTTTATTTTTTATATATAATAGTTTTAAAACTCTATCGTTTTAATTAAAATTGTTTAATTAAAATTAGCTTTTAAAAAATCTTTAAAAAATTAAATGTAATAAAAACAACGGTTTTTATTACATTTATAAATTTAGCTAAAATATGAAATATTTTAATTTTTTTATCAATTTTTATTATCATTTTCACGGTTTTTATCAATTTAATAACGTGGAATAATTTTAATTTCTTATCCTTTTATCGGACATTATCACGATTGTATTTGCACTTATTTGTTTGCGTTTATATATTGATAAAATTTTAGAACTGTTACGCAGTAATATAAATGTTAATATAATTTTATATCAGTTTTATATTAAATGTTTTTTAATTATATAAAAAAAAATGATCTATGCATTCATACAACATAAAATCTAAGAAAAACGTCTTTTAGATGCGAATTTTTTGGAAACATCTGTTGCTCTGCACTCTAATTATACTGCTCGGAGAAAATGCAGCAGAAAAGTCTCTTTCGTACGAAGGTAATTTTATTTATACTTTGTATCTAGTAGATATATTTAATATCTATTTTTATTAATTTCAAGGCTTATTTATGAAAAGAAGAATTATATAATTCTCTTAACATTTTCTTAACATACTGTTTTCTAAGTAGATTGCATTGTACATAACATTAACAAACATGTTGCATAATGTTAACAATAGACAAAATATTATGTTGCAAAATATTATACAAAAATAATAATACATTTATGACATATATTTTGAAAAATTTTATTTTCATCCAGATGCACTCGCGCAAAATGCGGATTTTCAAGACAATGATCTATACATCGACTATAGATTACCAAAGTCCATCGAACCCGTTTCGTATGAGATTGCTCTCATACCAAATTTAACAGCTAATAACTTTACATTTGTCGGCTTCGTAACAATTAAAGCTGTGGTAAAACAAGCAACTCAAGAATTCGCGTTACACGTGGGAAACATTCAAATCCTAAGAGAGTCTCTTCTAATAAACGATGAAAAAGTCAATATGTCACATAAATATAACAAAACCACTGAAAAGTACCATCTCAATGTCTTCCCTTATATTCTTAAAGAAAAAACAGAGCTACTAATCTCCTTTACATATAACGGGGTTCTAAACGACAATATGATTGGATTTTATAGAAGTTCTTATTACGATAAAAACGGACAACTTAAGTAAGTGACAAGCCACTTTAGAATTTTTATTTCTTTATCAATTCTTAATCATTTAATCACGTGTAATAATTCTAGTTTTTTATTCTTTTATCGGATATTATCACAGTTATATTTGCACTTGTGTTCATATATTGATAAAATCTTGGAAATGTGCAGTAAAATAGATGTTAATATGGTTGAAATAGTTGCTTCTTATATAAAACAATAATCTATGCATTTATACAACATAAAATCTAAGAAAAACTCAAACACGTCTTTTACATGAGAATTTTTTGAAAACATCTGTTGCTCTGCACTCTTTCGTGCATTATTTCGTAATGAGCGAAATAATGAAAACATTATAAACGTTGTAATTTACAATATAATAAATAAAGACAAATAATTTGAAATTGTATAGATGGTTAGCTGCGACACAGTTTCAAACTACACACGCGAGACATGCCTTTCCATGTTTTGACGAGCCAAGTTTTAAAGCAAACTTTACAATCCGAATATTAAGATCCGAAAACTATAAGTGCCTCAGTAATATGCCGGGAACAACTGAAGAACTGTAAGTATTAAAAAGTACAGCAATCGCGCTTGATTAACAATAAAAGTATCACTTGTTTTTTTCATAAAACAATTTTTTTTTTTTAAGTGATGGCAACATTTGGGATGTCTTCAATGAAAGCATCCCTATGTCAACGTATTTAGTGGCGTTTGTCGTTTCGGAATTTGAGTCTCGCGGACAAGACATATTGACAGTATGGTCTAGACCATCTTTTATCGAGCAGACTAATTACGCTTTGAATATCAGCACAGCAGCCCTCAAATTGTTCAGTGAAAAATTTTTGCAAGACTATCAGCTCCCTAAAATGGACATGGTGGCTGTACCCGACTTCGCAGCCGGAGCCATGGAAAATTGGGGACTGGTGACGTATCGCGAAGCCCGGCTGCTGTACGACGAAAAAGAATCGTCGGCGCCGGCACAGCAGAGCGTGGCTTCCGTCATCGTTCATGAACTCACGCACATGTGGTTCGGAAATTTGGTGACACCAGAATGGTGGGGCTACCTTTGGCTTAGTGAAGCATTTGCCAGATATTTTCAGTACTTCGGAACCGCGGACGTAAGAGTCATTGTTTGCTTACTAGAGTCATTTTTACATAAAGTCATCGCCGAATGTAATAGAATATACTTTTTAAAAGAAAAAAAATTGGATATTTTAAAAATATTTTAGAATGAAAGAAAATTAATTAACTTTAATTTTGCATAATCGCATTTACTATGGATGGCATTGTTATATTTTAAAAATAACTAATCAGTTTATATTATAATTACGACACTGGTAATACTGACAAAAAAAGCAAGAATTTATTTTTATATCTTTGGAAAAAATTAAATTAATAAGTTTTTTTCTTATTCTAGATCGAACAATCGTGGAACATGAAGGAGCAATTCGTGGTCGAACAGCATCAATCTGCTTTAATAGTGGATGGTCTTGAATCTTCTCTACCAATGACTCGGAATGTTTCTACTCAATCAGAAATCGGGAAAATGGGAGATTCCATTACCTATTCAAAGGGAGCCAGCATTGTTCGCATGATGGATCTCACATTCGGAACCAATCTCTTCAATTCGGCATTACGTGAATACTTAGAAAATAAGTAAATATCACAAAGAAAATAATAATCAATCGTATTGCATTATTAGTTCATTAATTTCCTAAAGAATAAACAGTTTAAGATATGATAAACTTTAAAATTAATGAAACAACGTGCAGCAAATGCAAATGTAAAGTTAATAATAGAAAAAATATAAAATTGATTGACATTGATATTAATTAATCTGCTTAAAAACTTTTGATATTATTTTAGTATTAAATTGATATTTTGATATTATTTACTGACAATAATATTAATTTATCACTGTTCAATTTTAAATATCTACAAATCAAGATTACTTGACATTCGTAATTCTTTAGTTGTCGAGAATTTTAAGAAAAAGAAATTAATTTTCCTCTGTTTCCTTTAATACAATCAAGATTATTATTACAAATGTAATGTTTTAGCAAAGAAAAGGGAGTGGGTCGACCGGAAGCTTTGTGGACAGCAATACAAAATCAGACAGAATCAAGTCAGCTAAATTTATCCGTTCCTATAGAAACGATAATGAACACTTGGACTACGCAAGCCGGATACCCCGTTGTATCTGTCACCACTAAAAGCAAAGGTGTCTTACGTATTAGCCAAGAACGCTTCTTTTTGAGAAATCTAGACAAAACTCCTACAAATGTTAAATGGTGGGTTCCTCTTACATGGACTACGCAAAGCGAACCAAATTTCAATAACACGATCGCACAAGATTGGCTGTCTACCGAATACGATACCAGATATCTCACAATTGGTCCGCAAGAATGGGTGATACTCAATTTGCAATCATCAGGTTAATGCCAGACAATATTTAAATCAGTTTATATCATTAAATATTTTAAATTCACACAAATTGTTGAAAATGAATAACTTCAATATTTTTATTATAGGCTTTTACCGCGTGAATTATGATTCTAATGGATGGCAGTGCATTTTCAATGCATTACACAACAAAAATATCAGTGAAATTCATGTATTAAACAGAGCCGGCATTGTAGATGATCTATTAAATCTTGGTAGAGCAGGGTATCAAGATTACAAAACGGTTCTAAATGGAATAACATATCTTAAAAGGGAAAACAATTACTTGCCTTTCAAAGCAGCATTTAATGGATTAGACTACTTAAATAAACGATTCGCAGGACACGATAATCATATTTTACTCAAGGTTAATTATTTGCTATGTTAAAACACGTAAAATAAATTTTGCATTTTACAACTTAACAAAGGAAACAACATGAAATTTTCTTTGTAAATTTTTCAAATAATTTATCAATCAATTTTTACGAACTAATTAATATTTTTTTCACAGAAATAGCTATATATATATATATAAATTATATAAACAATTAAAAATTTTAAAAACTTGTAAATCCAAATATAAAAAAAATATGTACAATGAAAAATTTATCTCTATTAGCCACATGATTTGATAACGTTGTGCTTGTAGGAATATATTCTATCCCTTATCAGTAATATACGCGAAAAATTGGGATACGAGGATCGCGATAATGATGACAGATTAACGGTCCTACTACGACGAGAAGTAAACAACTGGGCCTGTAATTTGGACGACGAAGAATGTAAAACGGTTTACTTAAACAAATTCGCAAAGTGGAGAGCAAATACTTCTATGCGGTAAGAATATAAAACAATTTTAATTATTATACAGTTACTTTTATGACTTTAAAGAATCGAGTCTGATTTTTAACTAATTTTCTTTACAATATAACCAACGTCAGATTGTTCGTTGTTTTTCACAGCATTAAGCCAAATGAAAGAACCACAGCGTATTGCGTAGCCATAAGATATGGAACTTCTGAAGACTGGGAATTTTTGTGGCAAGAATATTTTAATTCCAATCATACGGCTGACCAAATAGTGATTATAAACGCTCTTGGATACAGTCAGAATAAGACCATTTTAGAAAGGCAAGATTTAATAGAAATATATGGAAATATTAACTCTAATATATAACAAAAAATGGAGGACGCATTACTTCCAAAAGAGAAGTAAAGAAAAATATGGAATTTGTGTAATTAATTAATTACTTGCTACTTCAGGTATCTACAATTTGCGATCACCAATTATGAAGTCAGCCGAATTCGTAAACAGGACAGCAAGAGCGTCTTCGCCGCTGTTTATAACTCTGGTTTGATTGGCGCCGAGTACATTCTTGATTTTGTTCAAAAGCATTACAACGAAATGGAAAAATAGTAAGTCCTCTTTATTACAATAAAGTAATTACTTAATGCAATCGTGCAATGAGAAGCCATTTGAAAGAAAAAAGTACCATTTTTAAATAAATAAAATATTAATATTTTATTATTAATAATAATAATAAATTAATAATGTATTAATATTAGAGCATCAAGCAATCAAGCATAATTATGGAACACATTTCTTTAAACTGTTTCAAATTATACGATATAAAAAATAAATATAAAAATTGATTAAATATGTAATATAGTTATACACATATAGAAAAATCATTTTTAATTGACTTTATGATCATACTATTTTTTTTTTAGTTATGGAGAACAGGGTACAATAGCCACAATCCTTGATGGGGCGTCACAACGTTTCTCGACATACAGATTAGTGGAAAGATTCGAACAATTCATCGACAAACATGAAACGGAATTAGCGCCGATTCTCACGTCTCTAGAATCTTCTTTAAAAATCGCTCAGTATGAGTTAAAATGGTACGAAAACGCTTCGGTATCACAAGCCTTGAAGGAATACAACTATCGCCTACCGTCGAATATAAGTCCCAGAAAATACTTCATTTCCGTTACACCGTATCTCGAAATTGGGAATTTTACCTTCGACGGGAGAGTGAAAATTGAGGCCGACGTTCTACAATTGACAAAACAAATCATTTTGCACTCGGCGGAAATTGAGCATCACACAATAAATGTAACGGTTAATCAAATCGAATTAGGCATCAAAAATTACACGACCATAAGGAAATATGATTTCTTAATAATTAATCTCGAGGAAGAAGTGCTTAATGGAACGCAATTGACTATCGAAATTACGTACACAGGTCACTTGAATACGTCAGAGCTTCGTGGCTTCTACAAAAGCTCATATATAAATACGAATGGAGAAACAAGGTAATATCGAACATCTACAATGACAAATCTGAATATAGTAGAGTAACAAATGCTTCTATAGCAATAAAAAATGTTAACGAGGAAAAAAAGGCAATAAGAATCTAATGCGCAAAAAGTAATTTATTAATAAAAAAATACCAAAAGAAACAAAAAGAGTCGTTTCGGTCTAACTTTCGGACCCTCTTCAGTCTAGCGATAATGATAAAAACGGTACAGTGGTTCCCGCGTAAACAAAAGTGCAGCAATAATCCGTTGACGCAACGTACTCTGGACCTATACTGAGGGCCCCCCAGTAGAGGCTCGTTCCAATTAGCTAATTGGTTGCACCGACGAATCACTTCTGCATTCCGGCACCACCGTACTGTTTACATCACCGTCAGATTGATTGTAAAGAGGATCCGGAAGTTGAACCAAACTCTCTTTTCGTTTTGTTTTGTATTTTTTTGTTTGCTGTATCTATTTGAAACTAAATTTATGCATTACATCGACTGTAATATATATTTTTTGTATACTAGATGGCTTGCAGCTACGCATTTAGAACCCATTGGTGCCAGAAAAATGTTCCCTTGCTTTGATGAACCAGCGTTAAAAGCATTGTTCACTGTTGAAGCTATTGTACCGCTAAATTACCGAGCTGTTAGCAATATGAGATGGAAAACGATCGAGGATACGTATGTATAAGTTCAGATATATACATAAAATATTTTTTTACAAACTTTAACAGTGTTAATTGATTATCATTTTTAATATAACTTGCTTACTAATATTTTATATACTTTTATACATAAATAAAATATTATCACTCTTTGGCTTCTCGGGAAGAAACGCTTTAAAGAAAAATAAAATTTTACAAATTGTTACAGCGACAACAGTAAAATATACACGTTTCACGAGTCAGTGAAGATGTCGACATATTTAGTGGCAGTTATTATTTCCGATTTTAAAAGTTTAATTTTAAATCCAAGAACAACGGATGAAATCGGCGTACTCGCGCGTCCTGATGCCATTAGATATACAGAATACGCCCTATCCTTAATATCTCCGATTGTGACCTTCTTCGAGGACACGTTTCAACTGAAATATCAGCTTCCGAAACTTTACATGGTCGCGCTACCGGATTTCCCATCGGGCGCAGGAGAAAATTGGGGTCTTTTAACATACAGAGAATCGTATTTGTTATACGACGAGATTCACTCGTCGATCACGAGTAAACAGAATACCAGAAACGTGATCGCCCACGAAATCTCTCATCAATGGTTCGGAAATTTGGTCACTCCTCTGTGGTGGAAATATTTATGGTTGAACGAGGGATTTGCTAGATACTTCGAGTACCACGTTCCCGCTCGTGTATGTAATTAGAAAATGCTATTAATATAATGATTATAAGCAGAACTTAAATTTTTAACACATTACAAATAATTTTCTCGAAAACTTCAAACAAGATAATCATGATATGCTTAGAATTTGTATATTCTATATTTTACAGCAATCATAAAACAAACATTAATATAAAAATTTCTCTCCGCCTAAACGATAAATATTTTCTTAAATAATAAATTTATTATTTAAATATTAGGCATTTAACGACACAACGTTGGAATCGCAATTCGTGGTGGAGCAAGTGCATTCTGCTTTCGCCGCAGATAGTTCTAACTCCTCACACGCTCTGAGTCACGACGTCTACACTCCTAAAGAAATTCGAAGTTTATTTGATACGATTACTTATAACAAAGGCGGCAGCATACTGAGAATGATAGAAAAATCATATGGAACCGAAATATTCTATAATTCATTAACCAGTTATCTCAAGGAACGGTATGTTTGTATTTAATAATAATCTTTTTCTTACAGATTGCGTTTCTTCTGTATTAAAAAAAAAAATAAATCTATAGAAGCAATGTATTTATCCAATAATACAAAAAAATTTCTCTCTGATACTTAAAATATATAAAAACTTCAGATTCCATTTTGACTTAATCTATCAGAAAAAAGAAAACATCTTTTGCTTTTTTTTAGGAAATACAATTTTGTTACACCGGAACACCTATATGCAGCACTTGAAAAAGAAGTAAATGAAGATCAAAATATCACAACCTTTTTGAATACATGGACAACTCAACCAGGCTATCCTGTTGTTCATATAAAAAATGTAGATGATAAAACTATATCTTTGAGACAAGAACGTTTCTTCTTTAAGAAATATGAGCGCAATTCTGTTAATGCTACATGGCACATTCCGATTACATGGGCAACATATAACGAGCCTCAGGAATACTTCGACACCGACCCAAAATTATGGTTGACAGAGGAAGAAACGGTTATCAATTTAACGTTATTTTCGCTATTCAACGTGCAGCAATCTGGTAAAATTAAAAATCAAACCTATAAAAATATAATAAATATAATAAACAGAATTTTATTATTGAGTATTTTGAGGTCTGTAATTACAAATGTACACTTTTTTCTCAGGTTATTATCGCGTGAATTATGAAGAGGCTTATTGGATAAAACTGATAAATCTGCTTAGAAACTATACCTTTAAACTTAGGCAAATTCATGAGATCAACCGCGCAGCAATAATTGATGATGTCATGAATCTTGCAAGAGCAGACTATATCGATTATAAAATTGCTATATCAGCCACAATGTATTTGGCTCGAGAAAATGACTACCTTCCTTGGCGCGCATTTTACAATAATCTGCCTTACTTGAACAACCGTTTCCGAGGACGGGACATTGAAGGCTTATATAAGGTACGTGTATTATAATAATTCAAATTTCTAGATATACTATTAAATCAAATTATGAAATTAAACTTCTTATTTTTTCTTATTTACTAAAATAATTGCGAAAATTTGTCATTTTTTTTGTTTACTTATTTATAAGCTTATTTATAAGCTGTGTATAAAGCAAAACTATATAAAAGTAATTTAACTAATTTCAAATTTTACATTTATTAAAGTATAAATTTTTTTTCTCTTAAATAAGGTTTTTTTTGTAAAATATGTTTTGTTAACATATTTTCAGACCAAATTATATTTTAAGCTTAAATATTTTTTAATCATTATTTTTACTCATTTACATGATATGCATTTTGAAAATATATTCTATGCACAAAAGATAAATATATGACGTTTTGCAGAAATATCTAACATCGCTTATAGAACCACTTTACGACAAACTTCTCTTCACGAATAAGGACGGCGATCATCTAACGAATATGTTACGAATACATACTTCGAAGTGGGCCTGCAAATTAGATATATCTGATTGCAATTACGTGGCTAGATTACTTTTCCAAGAAAAACGCCAAGGGAAAATGTAAGGCCACTAATAAACTAAAATATATTTATTCCTCTGTCTGGTATAAAATTTTCAAAACCAGTCTCCATATCCATGGTGGATATTCTAAAAGCATAAAACTAGTATGAATAAAATAGAATGTAATATAATATACAACGTGTCAGTCAGACTTTAACTTATTTGCAGAATACCACCAAATTATCGCGAAATCGTTTATTGCACGGCTATGAAATCGGATATAACAAACAATACATACGACTTTCTTTGGAACGAGTATTTAAACAGCAATGTTACTGCAGATAAACTTGTGATTCTTAGCTCATTAGCGTGTTCACCGAAAAAGGATATTTTAAAAACGTAAGTATACATAACATTTAAAGCTTTCTCTACCTACTCTAAAAAGTAATTGATTAACATCTATAAATTGTATATAGCTATTTAGTAAAGCGTAATCTAAAAGTGTATATAAAAATTGTAAAAATATAACTTATTCTACGGCCTTCTAACATTTTTTAATATCATGAGAGCCAATAGCTAATACACTATTCTAGTATATTGACATTTAAAAATTTATATGTTTATGTATGTTATTTAAATCAAGGTTATTAAAGAATGCAGTCACAGAGAATTACATACGATATCAAGACAGTGGAAGAGTATTCTCGAATGTATACGATGAAAGCTTAATTGGCGTTGAAGTTGTCATGGAAGTTATTAAAGAGTATTACGATGATCTATTGCGTCTACAGTAAGTAAATGATTTTATGCAAGAACTATATAATAATGCAACATATAATCGTATGATTATGTATTTACATAACACATAATTTTTTATAGCTTTGGTGATCATACGAAAATCGAAAGTATAGTAAGCGCTCTGGCAAGCAGATTATCTACGTACGATCTCTACAATCAGGTAATTTATTTGCTAAATATATATTGAGACTTATTTTACCTATTTAACAAATATTTTAATAAAATTTTAACAAAGGTATTTATTAAAACCTAAAAAAATTTTATAAAAGATAATGATTAAATAATCTTTCCTGAGAAGAATTTTGCGAACACATTTCATTAAATATATCATCATTTTTTATCAGATTTATCAGATTTGTGACATTCTGTGTAAATACGGCACATTAGTAAATTAAAAAGTGCTACTTAGAGAATTTTTGATATCAACTAATATTTGTTTAATCAAATTTGTCTTTGACTTGCAGTATCAAAAGTTACTCGATTGGCTAGCCGAGAAAACGCCGATATCCAAAAATTCCATCGATTCTTATTTATCAACGGCACAATACGAGTTTGATTGGTATGAGGAAAAAGTGCCAATAATTTTTGAACAATTGGATAAAGTATTCTTTGACAACACATATCGCTTACCAAAGACGTTTCAGCCAGAACTCTATAATGTGACTCTTATACCTCATATGGAAAACGGCACTTTTAATGGAACAGTGCAAATATACATGAAAGTCAAGCAAAACACTACATCCATTACTCTCAATTCTCACAATCTTCAAATTTCTGAAATGAATATAAAAGTTTCTAAAAATTACACGAATGGCAGCGATACTTATATCGAACCAATACAATTATCAAGTATAGATCATATAGAAAATTCGCAACAACTAAAAATATATTTGATCGAATACGTATATATTGAAGAAAACATAATAGTGGATATTGAATTTAATGGATTTCTTAATGACAACATGCAAGGATTTTATCGTAGTTCCTATACGGATAGCAAAGGAATACAACAGTAAGTTAGCAATAAAAACCTGCAATTTCGTAATCTCACGTGTCAAGCTTTGCAATTAAAACTATTACACAATATGGACGTTAATATTGATTTGTTTGGTTTTTTTTTTGTTTTTTTTTAGTTGGCTAGCTACAACGCAATTCGAACCTACGTATGCTAGACAAGCTTTCCCTTGTTTTGACGAACCAGCATTTAAATCGAGATTCACAATCAACATTCAAAGACCAAAAGACTATAAGACACTAAGCAATATGCCATGCAATATCACTACAAACTTCGTGTAAGTATTAGTGGAAACTATATTTAATAAATCTTGATGCAAGTACAATATAAATTTTTGTATAAATTTTTTTATGTAAGAAGTAATTCAACAACTTCATATTCTTACAATTATCTATTGCTTTAGAAACGAAAATGCATTGGACAGTTGCGAAGTAACAGAAGTCATGTCAACATATCTAGTGGCATTCGTCGTCTCTAAATTTGAACCTGTAGATGATTCTGATGAAATCAATGTATGGGGCAGACCCGAAGTCGCGCAGCATGGCAAATTTGCTCAAGATATCGCCAGAAAGCTTATCGATGAATTGCAGGAATTTACGAATATCAATTATTCTTTACCTAAGCTAGACTTGGTGGGAATACCAGATTTTTCCATGGGCGCAATGGAGAACTGGGGTCTTGCTACTTTCCGGTGATATATTGTTTTCGTTTAATAGTTATAAAAATTTATATATCATCCCGTATAGACTTAGTGCACAATAATAAATCATACCGTACAAATAATACGACCTCTTCAACAGCGAGTACGGGCTCTTTTATGACACAAACGAAACTACGGCCACATATAAAAAATACATAATTACCGTAATAGCACACGAACTTGCTCATATGTGGTTTGGAAATCTTGTTACTTGCGAGTGGTGGGAGTATATTTGGCTCAACGAAGGCTTCGCGCAATATCTCGAATGGTATATGGCTAATGTGGTATGTAATAATCAATATTTTTGCATAAAAGAAAGTTATATTCTTTATTTCTAATACAAATCAATCTTGTGCGATAAGTTTCAATCCATTTTATTTAGAAGCTCGAAAAATTAATCTAAATTTTTAGCTTTATCTTTTTTTTTTAAGAATTATTTCTTAATTTCTTACAAAATGGATTAAATTTTATATTTCACTAAAAAGCTAATTTTTTTCTTAAATTGTAAAATACTAGTTGAAAAAATTAACTATTTCGACAATTAAATATGATAAACACATGAAGTATATATTCGCATGATCATTTTAGATATCACCAAACGATAAGTTTATGGATCAATTTGTGGTTTACGAGCTGCAGTCTGCTCTGTTAAACGATGCCTCTACTTCAGTACATCCAATGACAAATCCTGTCAAAACGCCTGAAGAAATAAGTACTATTTTCGACTATGTCACTTATGGAAAATGTACGTATTATATAAAGATCTTAAACGCATTCAAGATAATATTGTTCGAGAAAATTTTTATAGAAAACAATCACTACACAATTGTCTGCTCTGCCATGCATTCTACAAATAAAATGTATAAAAATTATGCAAAACGCAAAAATGTTATAAAATTTATGATTGCATATTTGTTACTCCAGAATCAATTTATATTTTAATGGATTTTGTACGATCAAATGCTACTAAGCATGCTAAGACTTTAATATTTGGTATTATTTATAAATATTACAGCTGCTAGTGTCTTACGGATGATGTTTACTGCATTCGGCGAAGAAGCTTCTAAATCGGCGCTTCGCGATTATTTAAATAAAACCTCATACAGTACGGCGCGTCCTACAGATTTATGGAAAAGTTTCGAGCCATATGTATCGATATCAATTAGTAGGAGAAACATAACAATAGAGGAAGTGATGGATAGTTGGACAAATCAACCGGGATATCCCCTCGTTCATGCTACATTAAAAAATAGCTTATTAAGTCTTCGTCAGGTAATAAAGTGTACCTTTACGTCATATGTAACTTTTTGAATATATTATTCGAACATATTCTTATACTCGGCTTTAAAATTTAATTTACCATGTTATAGGAACGATTTGTACTCAACAAAGACGCCAATATCCCCGAATTTTATTGGATACCAATTAGAGTCGTCACATCTCAAAGCATTTCTGATCAGATAACTTTTCAACGCACGATATGGTTAGGATCACAAACTGAGATAATGTATATCAATCCCATCAACGAATTATTCATCGTAAATTATGAACAAACTGGATTCTACCGTGTCAATTACGACACTCAATCATGGCTGAAATTAATCAATGAATTAAATAGCGAACGATTTAACATTATCCCTGTTTTAAATCGTGCTCAAATCATAGACGATCTCTTTAACTTGGCTCGCGCTCGTTACACAAACTATGAAGTATTGATGAAAGCATCGAAATATCTGACACGAGAGACGCATCATTTACCCTGGAAAGCGTTTTTCAACGGCCTATCCTATGTTTATGAAAGATTTGGAGAAAACGATCAAAAATTGGTGAAAAAACATATTTTGAATTTATTATTCAACATGTATAAAGAAGTAGGATTCAATGATCGCGGTAACGATACACTTCTAGATGAATTAAATAGAGAGATGATTTTACAATGGGCCTGCAAGCTTGATAAACCGGAATGTATAATGCAATCTAAACTTTTATTCGCAACTTGGCGTGAAGATAATTCAAAACGGTAAGATTTCAACGAACTTTAATAATATTTATTACTAAATTAATAATATTTATTTTAATCCTAATATTTCACATTTTTCGTTTTTTCGTCGTGTTAATTATCTCTGCTCGTGCAATACAAGAATCTTTATTGTAAAAAGTATAAGTAGCAAAACTAAATTTCAAAAATAAAATAAAAAAATATTTTTTTTTTAATTTATAAAATGAGAAATGGATTCTTAAAAATTTAGATTATAAATTTGCATTTAGTTAATTGCGTGAACTAACACAGATAGAAAATCAACTTTGGCAATAAATCTGTTAAATAAATTGTCTTAATCTATTCTTTGTACAAAATTTGCTTATCTATTTTATTTACAGAATTCCTCGTAATGCACGACCAGCTGTCTATTGCACTGCAATAAGAAAAGGAACTACGGATGATTGGAAATTCTTGTGGAATCAGTATTTATCAACGAATTTTGGATCAGAGCAGAAGATTATTATAAATGCACTCGGATGCTCAGAAAATAAAGCAACGCTTTATAAGTAAGTAATTATAAGTAAGTCTACTTATGTAAAATTAGCTAACAATTATACAAAGCCTAACAATCTCACTAATTATTTGAATCACTCATGATATATTTATCACCACTTCGACTTACAAACTATTTATTTAAACAGCTATCTAGAAACTGCCATCAAAGAATACGATCCTGTAACAGCTGAAATTCGTAAACAGGATGTTTTAGCAGTATTTGCTTCTGTATATAGTGGAAGTCAATTGGGGGTGGAAATTACTCTAAATTTTTTAATTTCAAATTATTGGACAATGTATAATTAGTAAGTAGCATTATAATATCAATGATAAAATTGCAATTTTACAGTAAGATTTTTATGTTTATATGCTTCCATTACAGTTTTGGCAATTGGAATGATGTTGGAACTTTGTTCGAAAATGTAGCGTCTCATATATCGGACAGAACAGAATATTGGAAGGTACGATTGCTCAAGATAAGTTGCATAATTTGTCAGCCACATATTTTTAAATTTTAATTTCTATATAAGAAATTAAAAAAAGCTTGATTAAAATCTTATTTCTGCCTATTACTGCATGCTAACTTACTAATAATAAACCGTATGCTAATACTACAACTTTAACAGTTCTTCATATATTATCATATGTATATTATCAATTTGATGAACATATGTTTATTTCAATTTACAGAATATATATGTAGATCCCCGTCATTTTAATTTTCATGATTTCATAGAAATTTTGTGGCTTAAGTAAAGATTAATGTATTATTAATTATTTATATAAAATATGCAATAATTGTAAGTTACATAACACTATGAATAGATTAAATAACAAAAATTTGTTTCTTTCTTTCTAGTTATGGGAATTTAGAATTTACGCTGAAGGAAACATTAAAGGACTCAGAGAGAAATTAAAATCGGCTGTCACCATTGCGGAAACCAACTTATTGTGGCACCAACGATATAGCCAAATAATTGTGCAATGGATAAAAAATGATATGTCGGAAGATGAACCTGACAGTTCTACAAGTATAGAATCACTAAACATTGTTTTTGTGACCCTTATTGCTTTAATATCGTTCTTTTTAAGCCGCAACTGATAAACTTGCACGGAAAGTAATGATAAACTTTACTTTCTAGTTTCATATTATGTAAAATTAAAAAAAAATTAATCTTAATAATCCGTGCTTTACTTAAAGAGTAATATGCTTTTTCTAAAAAACTAAGAACTAAAATTTTATTTTTGTGCAATATCTTGCCATATTCTTAATAGAGAAAGTTGTAACTCTAACGAGTTTTATAATTAACCGAGTAAATGTAATATAAAGAAATCATAAAATATTCGTTAATAATGTCACATCTATAAAAATGTTCTTTAACCACATAGTACAATTCAATTGATACTTTCTTATATAATATAATTATCGTTATTTCAGTTCTTGTATATATGAATGTGTATATGTTATCACAATTATGCAAATATTTAAATAATAAATAACTGTACTCATCAGATGAGATATTCTAATTTATACCATCAGATTCTGTCTTATAATTAGAGTGCTCCACAATAGCTTCATTGAAAAATCGATAACTACTAGAAACCCGTATTTTGTTACGCTTTACAAAGTACAAATCGCGTATTTTATTTTCGAAAATTACAGATTGACGTCGCTAATTTGGCATGTTGTGATACACGAAACGTGCATACGTAAAATGAAAAGCTTTGTGCACCAAAAATAAGATATAAATTGAACAATTGTTAAAAATTAATTAGATAGTTAAGGAAAATAAAATTATTATGAGAAAAGAGAAAACACTAATGTTTTTTAATTACTAATCAGAAAACATTATTTCTACAAATTACGTCGTATTTAAACAGTTTGCAAATTTTAAGATGCCGGTAAACCATATCATGAAACACGTTCTATAAAAGTAAATCTTTTCGCGAAGTGTGTCGTGTATAGAAGCCACTTTTCGAAGCTCGATGAAAAGAATCGTTTAATAAAACTCGCATAAATGTAAGTCAATTACATTAATTGCTATTTAAGCAGCTAATAATTACAGTGTTATATGCTAACATATTACACATACACACCCATTTCGTACTTTGACAATTTAAAAAAGCATCAGATAATTAAATTTATTAATAAAATTAATAAAAATAACATTTATGTACATTATAATTATTAAACATTACTGTCACAAAATTTATATCTTGAAAATTCTTCAATTTTTCTAGATTTAATTTCTGACAAGTTATATCTTTTTAAAAATTTTTGTATATATTTATTTAAATAATTTATAATTCCAAAATTTTGTAATTTTCAGATTTAAGAATAATAAATTTTATACATAATTTATGCAAAGTTTAATATTCTAGGATTAATATTAACTATTAAAATAGTAATATTATCTATTAACATTAAAGTAATAGTTATCAAATATTTGGCAATAGTTACTAAATGATTTGGCAATAGTTACCAAATATTTGATAATAGTAACTAAATGATTCGGTAATAGTTACCAAATATTTTGTAGTAGTTACCAAATAGTTTATAATAGTTACCAAATATTTGGTATTAGTTACTAAATATTTGATAATAGTTACCAAATATTTGGTATCAGTTACTAAATATTTGGTAATAGTTACTAATTATTTGGTAATAGTTACTAAATGATTTGGTAATAGTTAAATATTTAGTAACTATCATCAGGCAAGAGTGATCGGGTCCTGATTAATACACCCGATAGGGACCTTAGATGTTTGTAAACGCAATGTCCCTATCGGGAACCGATGAGGCTACACTATTTCAACCTTATTTTTATTTAACTAGAACAATACAGGCGCGTGCTACGCGCACGCATTTATTATAGTAATTTAATAATTGTAAAATCTAAATATTTTAATAAAATTTTTTTTATTCAAAATAACCGTCAAAATAACCTTTGCTCTCAAAGTATCAAACTGTCAGAATAATCGCGATAACCATCAGCGTCGCAAAAAAGCGTCAACAATACTTTCGATACATTCGAGTATCGATCTTTCGTGACTTTTTTAAGAGTGGATCAAGCATACGTTTGAAATCGCTTACCGGTCGCTGTACCCTAACGAAGTACGCTTTCACAACTATACTTAGAAAAATTAATACATATTTTACTTATTATAAATAATAATACATAATTATATATAATTTCTATGCTAATATTAATTAATAATTTGTATTTACATTAAAAACATAACAATGCGCAATGAATTGCGCAAATAATTATGTAAAAATATTTAGAAATATTTAATAAACGTTTTAAAAAATAATTTTCAAAA